TCCGCACTCAGATCCCTCCGCACTCAGATCCCTCCGCACTCAGATTCCTCCGCACTCAGATCCCTCCGCACTCAGATCCCTCCGCACTCAGATCCCTCTGCACTCAGATCCCTCTGCACTCAGATCCCTCCGCACTCAGATCCCTCCGCACTCAGATCCCTCTGCACTCAGATCCCTCCGCACTCAGATCCCTCCACTCAGATCCCTCTGCACTCAGATCCCTCTGCACTCAGATTCCTCCGCACTCAGATCCCTCTGCACTCAGATCCCCTGCACTCAGATCCCTCTGCACTCAGATCCTCCGCACTCAGATCCCTCCGCACTCAGATCCCTCCGCACTCAGATTCCTCCGCACTCAGATCCCTCCGCACTCAGATCCCTCCGCACTCAGATCCCTCTGCACTCAGATCCCTCCGCACTCAGATCCCTCTGCACTCAGATCCCTCCGCACTCAGATCCCTCCGCACTCAGATCCCTCTGCACTCAGATCCCTCCGCACTCAGATCCCTCCGCACTCAGATCCCTCCGCACTCAGATCCCTCCGCACTCAGATCCCTCTGCACTCAGATCCCTCCGCACTCAGATCCCTCCGCACTCAGATCCCTCCGCACTCAGATCCCTCCGCACTCAGATCCCTCCGCACTCAGATCCCTCTGCACTCAGATCCCTCCGCACTCAGATCCCTCTGCACTCAGATCCCTCTGCACTCAGATCCCTCCGCACTCAGATCCCTCTGCACTCAGATCCCTCCGCACTCAGATCCCTCCGCACTCAGATCCCTCCGCACTCAGATTCCCCGCACTCAGATCCCTCCGCACTCAGATCCCTCCGCACTCAGATCCCTCCGCACTCAGATCCCTCCGCACTCAGATCCCTCCGCACTCAGATCCCTCCGCACTCAGATCCCTCCGCACTCAGATCCCTCTGCACTCAGATCCCTCCGCACTCAGATCCCTCCGCACTCAGATCCCTCTGCACTCAGATCCCTCTGCACTCAGATCCCTCTGCACTCAGATCCCTCCGCACTCAGAGACCTCCGCACTCAGATCCCTCCGCACTCAGATCCCTCCGCACTCAGATCCCTCCGCACTCAGATCCCTCCGCACTCAGATCCCTCCGCACTCAGATCCCTCCGCACTCAGATCCCTCGCACTCAGATCCCTCCGCACTCAGATCCCTCCGCACTCAGATCCCTCCGCACTCAGATCCCTCCGCACTCAGATCCCTCCGCACTCAGATCCCTCCGCACTCAGATCCCTCCGCACTCAGATCCCTCCGCACTCAGATCCCTCCGCACTCAGATCCCTCTGCACTCAGATCCCTCCGCACTCAGATCCCTCCGCACTCAGATCCCTCTGCACTCAGATCCCTCCGCACTCAGATCCCTCTGCACTCAGATCCCTCTGCACTCAGATCCCTCTGCACTCAGATCCCTCCGCACTCAGATCCCTCCGCACTCAGATCCCCCTGCACTCAGATCCCTCTGCACTCAGATTCCTCCGCACTCAGATCCCTCCGCACTCAGATCCCTCCGCACTCAGATCCCTCCGCACTCAGATCCCTCTGCACTCAGATCCCTCTGCACTCAGATCCTTCTGCACTCAGATTCCTCCGCACTCAGATCCCTCCGCACTCAGATCCCTCCGCACTCAGATCCCTCCGCACTCAGATCCCTCCGCACTCAGATCCCTCCGCACTCAGATCCCTCCGCACTCAGATCCCTCTGCACTCAGATCCCTCTGCACTCAGATCCCTCCGCACTCAGATCCCTCCGCACTCAGATCCTCCGCACTCAGATCCCTCCGCACTCAGATCCCTCCGCACTCAGATCCCTCCGCACTCAGATCCCTCCGCACTCAGATCCCTCCGCACTCAGATCCCTCCGCACTCAGATCCCTCTGCACTCAGATCCCTCTGCACTCAGATCCCTCTGCACTCAGATCCCTCCGCACTCAGATCCCTCCGCACTCAGATCCCTCCGCACTCAGATCCCTCTGCACTCAGATCCCTCTGCACTCAGATTCCTCCGCACTCAGATCCCTCGCACTCAGATCCCTCCGCACTCAGATCCCTCCGCACTCAGATCCCTCCGCACTCAGATCCCTCCGCACTCAGATCCCTCCGCACTCAGATCCCTCCGCACTCAGATCCTCTGCACTCAGATCCCTCCGCACTCAGATCCCTCCGCACTCAGATCCCTCCGCACTCAGATCCCTCCGCACTCAGATCCCTCCGCACTCAGATTCCTCCGCACTCAGATCCCTCCGCACTCAGATCCCTCTGCACTCAGATCCCTCCGCACTCAGATCCCTCCGCACTCAGATCCCTCCGCACTCAGATCCCTCCGCACTCAGATCCCTCTGCACTCAGATCCCTCCGCACTCAGATCCCTCCGCACTCAGATCCCTCCGCACTCAGATCCCTCTGCACTCAGATCCCTCTGCACTCAGATTCCTCCGCACTCAGATCCCTCCGCACTCAGATCCCTCCGCACTCAGATTCCTCCGCACTCAGATCCCTCCGCACTCAGATCCCTCTGCACTCAGATCCCTCTGCACTCAGATCCCTCTGCACTCAGATCCCTCCGCACTCAGATCCCTCTGCACTCAGATCCCTCTGCACTCAGATCCCTCTGCACTCAGATTCCTCCGCACTCAGATCCCTCCGCACTCAGATCCCCGCACTCAGATCCCTCTGCACTCAGATCCCTCTGCACTCAGATCCTCCGCACTCAGATCCCTCTGCACTCAGATCCCTCTGCACTCAGATCCCTCCGCACTCAGATCCCTCCGCACTCAGATCCCTCCGCACTCAGATTCCTCCGCACTCAGATCCCTCTGCACTCAGATCCTCCGCACTCAGATCCCTCTGCACTCAGATCCCTCCGCACTCAGATCCCTCTGCACTCAGATCCCTCTGCACTCAGATTCCTCCGCACTCAGATCCCTCCGCACTCAGATCCCCGCACTCAGATCCCTCTGCACTCAGATCCTCCGCACTCAGATCCCTCCGCACTCAGATCCCTCCGCACTCAGATCCCTCCGCACTCAGATCCCTCTGCACTCAGATCCCTCCGCACTCAGATCCCTCCGCACTCAGATCCCTCCGCACTCAGATCCCTCCGCACTCAGATCCCTCCGCACTCAGATCCCTCCGCACTCAGATTCCTCCGCACTCAGATCCCTCTGCACTCAGATCCCTCTGCACTCAGATCCCTCTGCACTCAGATCCTCCGCACTCAGATCCCTCCGCACTCAGATCCCTCCGCACTCAGATCCTCCGCACTCAGATCCCTCCACACTCAGATCCCTCTGCACTCAGATCCCTCTGCACTCAGATCCCTCCGCACTCAGATCCCTCCGCACTCAGATCCCTCCGCACTCAGATCCCTCCGCACTCAGATCCCTCCGCACTCAGATCCCTCCGCACTCAGATCCCTCCGCACTCAGATCCCTCCCACTCAGATCCCTCCGCACTCAGATCCCTCCGCACTCAGATCCCTCCGCACTCAGATCCCTCCGCACTCAGATCCCTCCGCACTCAGATCCCTCTGCACTCAGATCCCTCTGCACTCAGATCCCTCTGCACTCAGATCCCTCCGCACTCAGATCCCTCCGCACTCAGATCCCTCTGCACTCAGATCCCTCTGCACTCAGATTCCTCCGCACTCAGATCCCTCCGCACTCAGATCCCTCCGCACTCAGATCCCTCTGCACTCAGATCCCTCCGCACTCAGATCCCTCTGCACTCAGATCCCTCTGCACTCAGATCCCTCTGCACTCAGATCCCTCCGCACTCAGATCCCTCCGCACTCAGATCCCTCTGCACTCAGATCCCTCCGCACTCAGATCCCTCCGCACTCAGATCCCTCCGCACTCAGATCCCTCTGCACTCAGATCCCTCTGCACTCAGATCCCTCTGCACTCAGATCCCTCCGCACTCAGATCCCTCCGCACTCAGATCCCTCCGCACTCAGATCCCTCTGCACTCAGATCCCTCCGCACTCAGATCCCTCTGCACTCAGATCCCTCCGCACTCAGATCCCTCTGCACTCAGATTCCTCCGCACTCAGATCCCTCTGCACTCAGATCCCTCTGCACTCAGATCCCTCCGCACTCAGATCCCTCCGCACTCAGATCCCTCCGCACTCAGATCCCTCCGCACTCAGATTCCTCCGCACTCAGATCCCTCTGCACTCAGATCCCTCCGCACTCAGATCCCTCCGCACTCAGATCCCTCCGCACTCAGATCCCTCCGCACTCAGATCCCTCCGCACTCAGATCCCTCCGCACTCAGATCCCTCCGCACTCAGATCCCTCCGCACTCAGATCCCTCCGCACTCAGATCCCTCCGCACTCAGATCCCTCCGCACTCAGATCCCTCCGCACTCAGATCCCTCTGCACTCAGATCCCTCCGCACTCAGATCCCTCCGCACTCAGATCCCTCCGCACTCAGATCCCTCTGCACTCAGATCCCTCTGCACTCAGATTCCTCCGCACTCAGATCCCTCCGCACTCAGATCCCTCTGCACTCAGATCCCTCCGCACTCAGATCCCTCCGCACTCAGATCCCTCCGCACTCAGATCCCTCCGCACTCAGATCCCTCCGCACTCAGATCCCTCCGCACTCAGATCCCTCCGCACTCAGATCCCTCCGCACTCAGATCCCTCCGCACTCAGATCCCTCCGCACTCAGATTCCTCCGCACTCAGATCCCTCCGCACTCAGATCCCTCCGCACTCAGATCCCTCCGCACTCAGATCCCTCCGCACTCAGATCCCTCCGCACTCAGATCCCTCCGCACTCAGATCCCTCCGCACTCAGATCCCTCCGCACTCAGATCCCTCCGCACTCAGATCCCTCTGCACTCAGATCCCTCTGCACTCAGATCCCTCTGCACTCAGATCCCTCCGCACTCAGATCCCTCTGCACTCAGATCCCTCCGCACTCAGATCCCTCTGCACTCAGATCCCTCCGCACTCAGATCCCTCTGCACTCAGATCCCTCTGCACTCAGATCCCTCCGCACTCAGATCCCTCTGCACTCAGATCCCTCTGCACTCAGATCCCTTGCACTCAGATTCCTCCGCACTCAGATCCCTCTGCACTCAGATCCCTCCGCACTCAGATTCCTCCGCACTCAGATCCCTCCGCACTCAGATCCCTCTGCACTCAGATCCCTCTGCACTCAGATTCCTCCGCACTCAGATCCCTCTGCACTCAGATCCCTCTGCACTCAGATCCCTCTGCACTCAGATCCCTCTGCACTCAGATTCCTCCGCACTCAGATCCCTCCGCACTCAGATCCCTCTGCACTCAGATCCCTCCGCACTCAGATCCCTCTGCACTCAGATCCCTCCGCACTCAGATCCCTCCGCACTCAGATCCCTCCGCACTCAGATCCCTCCGCACTCAGATCCTCCGCACTCAGATCCCTCCGCACTCAGATCCCTCCGCACTCAGATCCCTCCGCACTCAGATCCCTCCGCACTCAGATCCCTCCGCACTCAGATCCCTCTGCACTCAGATCCTCTCTCGCACTCAGATCCCTCTGCACTCAGATTCCTCCGCACTCAGATCCCTCTGCACTCAGATCCCTCTGCACTCAGATCCCTCCGCACTCAGATTCCTCCGCACTCAGATCCCTCCGCACTCAGATCCCTCCGCACTCAGATCCCTCTGCACTCAGATCCCTCTGCACTCAGATCCCTCTGCACTCAGATCCCTCTGCACTCAGATCCCTCTGCACTCAGATCCCTCCGCACTCAGATCCCTCTGCACTCAGATCCCTCTGCACTCAGATCCCTCTACACTCAGATTCCTCCGCACTCAGATCCCTCCGCACTCAGATCCCTCCGCACTCAGATTCCTCCGCACTCAGATCCCTCTGCACTCAGATCCCTCCGCACTCAGATTCCTCCGCACTCAGATCCCTCCGCACTCAGATCCCTCCGCACTCAGATCCCTCCGCACTCAGATCCCTCCGCACTCAGATCCTCCGCACTCAGATCCCTCCGCACTCAGATCCCTCCGCACTCAGATCCCTCCGCACTCAGATCCCTCCGCACTCAGATCCCTCTGCACTCAGATCCCTCTGCACTCAGATCCCTCCGCACTCAGATCCCTCTGCACTCAGATCCCTCCGCACTCAGATCCCTCTGCACTCAGATCCCTCCGCACTCAGATCCCTCTGCACTCAGATCCCTCTGCACTCAGATTCCTCCGCACTCAGATCCCTCCGCACTCAGATCCCTCCGCACTCAGATCCCTCCGCACTCAGATCCCTCTGCACTCAGATCCCTCCGCACTCAGATTCCTCCGCACTCAGATCCCTCCGCACTCAGATCCCTCCGCACTCAGATCCCTCCGCACTCAGATCCCTCCGCACTCAGATCCCTCCGCACTCAGATCCCTCCGCACTCAGATCCCTCCGCACTCAGATCCCTCCGCACTCAGATCCCTCCGCACTCAGATCCCTCCGCACTCAGATCCCTCTGCACTCAGATCCCTCCGCACTCAGATCCCTCCGCACTCAGATCCCTCCGCACTCAGATCCCTCTGCACTCAGATCCCTCTGCACTCAGATCCTCCGCACTCAGATCCCTCTGCACTCAGATCCCTCTGCACTCAGATCCCTCCGCACTCAGATCCCTCCGCACTCAGATCCCTCCGCACTCAGATCCCTCCGCACTCAGATCCCTCCGCACTCAGATCCCTCCGCACTCAGATCCCTCCGCACTCAGATCCCTCCGCACTCAGATCCCTCCGCACTCAGATCCCTCCGCACTCAGATTCCTCCGCACTCAGATCCCTCCGCACTCAGATCCCTCCGCACTCAGATCCCTCCGCACTCAGATCCCTCCGCACTCAGATCCCTCCGCACTCAGATCCCTCCGCACTCAGATCCCTCCGCACTCAGATCCCTCCGCACTCAGATCCCTCCGCACTCAGATCCCTCCGCACTCAGATCCCTCCGCACTCAGATCCCTCCGCACTCAGATCCCTCCGCACTCAGATCCCTCCGCACTCAGATCCCTCCGCACTCAGATCCCTCTGCACTCAGATCCCTCTGCACTCAGATCCCTCGCACTCAGATCCCTCCGCACTCAGATCCCTCTGCACTCAGATCCCTCCGCACTCAGATCCCTCTGCACTCAGATCCCTCCGCACTCAGATCCCTCTGCACTCAGATCCCTCTGCACTCAGATCCCTCCGCACTCAGATCCTCTGCACTCAGATCCCTCCTGCACTCAGATCCCTCCGCACTCAGATCCCTCCGCACTCAGATCCCTCTGCACTCAGATCCCTCTGCACTCAGATCCCTCCGCACTCAGATCCCTCCGCACTCAGATCCCTCTGCACTCAGATCCCTCTGCACTCAGATTCCTCCGCACTCAGATCCCTCCGCACTCAGATCCCTCTGCACTCAGATCCCTCTGCACTCAGATCCCTCCGCACTCAGATTCCTCCGCACTCAGATCCCTCCGCACTCAGATCCCTCTGCACTCAGATCCCTCTGCACTCAGATCCCTCTGCACTCAGATCCCTCCGCACTCAGATCCCTCCGCACTCAGATCCCTCCGCACTCAGATCCCTCCGCACTCAGATTCCTCCGCACTCAGATCCCTCCGCACTCAGATCCCTCCGCACTCAGATCCCTCCGCACTCAGATCCCTCCGCACTCAGATCCCTCCGCACTCAGATCCCTCTGCACTCAGATCCCTCTGCACTCAGATCCCTCTGCACTCAGATCCCTCCGCACTCAGATCCCTCTGCACTCAGATCCCTCTGCACTCAGATCCCTCTGCACTCAGATCCCTCCGCACTCAGATCCCTCCGCACTCAGATCCCTCCGCACTCAGATCCCTCCGCACTCAGATCCCTCTGCACTCAGATCCCTCTGCACTCAGATCCCTCTGCACTCAGATCCCTCTGCACTCAGATCCCTCCGCACTCAGATCCCTCTGCACTCAGATCCCTCCGCACTCAGATCCCTCTGCACTCAGATTCCTCCGCACTCAGATCCCTCCGCACTCAGATCCCTCCGCACTCAGATCCCTCCGCACTCAGATCCCTCTGCACTCAGATCCCTCCGCACTCAGATCCCTCCGCACTCAGATCCCTCCGCACTCAGATCCCTCCGCACTCAGATCCCTCCGCACTCAGATCCCTCCGCACTCAGATCCTCCGCACTCAGATCCCTCCGCACTCAGATCCCTCCGCACTCAGATCCCTCCGCACTCAGATCCCTCCGCACTCAGATCCCTCTGCACTCAGATCCCTCTGCACTCAGATCCCTCCGCACTCAGATCCCTCTGCACTCAGATCCCTCCGCACTCAGATCCCTCTGCACTCAGATCCCTCCGCACTCAGATCCCTCTGCACTCAGATCCCTCTGCACTCAGATTCCCTCCGCACTCAGATCCCTCCGCACTCAGATCCCTCCGCACTCAGATCCCTCCGCACTCAGATCCCTCTGCACTCAGATCCCTCCGCACTCAGATTCCTCCGCACTCAGATCCCTCCGCACTCAGATCCCTCCGCACTCAGATCCCTCCGCACTCAGATCCCTCCGCACTCAGATCCCTCCGCACTCAGATCCCTCCGCACTCAGATCCCTCCGCACTCAGATCCCTCCGCACTCAGATCCCTCCGCACTCAGATCCCTCGCACTCAGATCCCTCTGCACTCAGATCCCTCCGCACTCAGATCCCTCCGCACTCAGATCCCTCCGCACTCAGATCCCTCTGCACTCAGATCCCTCTGCACTCAGATCCCTCCGCACTCAGATCCCTCTGCACTCAGATCCTCTGCACTCAGATCCCTCCGCACTCAGATCCCTCCGCACTCAGATCCCTCCGCACTCAGATCCCTCCGCACTCAGATCCCTCCGCACTCAGATCCCTCCGCACTCAGATCCCTCCGCACTCAGATCCCTCCGCACTCAGATCCCTCCGCACTCAGATCCCTCCGCACTCAGATTCCTCCGCACTCAGATCCCTCCGCACTCAGATCCCTCCGCACTCAGATCCCTCCGCACTCAGATCCCTCCGCACTCAGATCCCTCCGCACTCAGATCCCTCCGCACTCAGATCCCTCCGCACTCAGATCCCTCGCACTCAGATCCCTCCGCACTCAGATCCCTCCGCACTCAGATCCCTCCGCACTCAGATCCCTCCGCACTCAGATCCCTCTGCACTCAGATCCCTCTGCACTCAGATCCCTCCGCACTCAGATCCCTCCGCACTCAGATCCTCCGCACTCAGATCCCTCTGCACTCAGATCCCTCTGCACTCAGATTCCTCCGCACTCAGATCCCTCTGCACTCAGATCCCTCCGCACTCAGATCCCTCTGCACTCAGATTCCTCCGCACTCAGATCCCTCTGCACTCAGATCCCTCCGCACTCAGATCCCTCTGCACTCAGATCCCTCCGCACTCAGATCCCTCCGCACTCAGATCCCTCTGCACTCAGATCCCTCTGCACTCAGATCCCTCTGCACTCAGATCCCTCCGCACTCAGATCCCTCTGCACTCAGATCCCTCTGCACTCAGATCCCTCTGCACTCAGATTCCTCCGCACTCAGATCCCTCCGCACTCAGATCCCTCTGCACTCAGATCCCTCTGCACTCAGATCCCTCTGCACTCAGATCCCTCCGCACTCAGATCCCTCTGCACTCAGATCCCTCCGCACTCAGATCCCTCTGCACTCAGATCCCTCCGCACTCAGATCCCTCTGCACTCAGATCCCTCTGCACTCAGATTCCTCCGCACTCAGATCCCTCTGCACTCAGATCCCTCTGCACTCAGATCCCTCCGCACTCAGATTCCTCCGCACTCAGATCCCTCTGCACTCAGATCCCTCTGCACTCAGATTCCTCCGCACTCAGATCCCTCCGCACTCAGATCCCTCTGCACTCAGATCCCTCTGCACTCAGATTCCTCCGCACTCAGATCCTCTCTGCACTCAGATCCCTCTGCACTCAGATCCCTCTGCACTCAGATCCCTCTGCACTCAGATCCTCCGCACTCAGATCCCTCCGCACTCAGATCCCTCTGCACTCAGATCCCTCGCACTCAGATCCCTCTGCACTCAGATCCCTCCACTCAGATCCCTCCGCACTCAGATCCCTCCGCACTCAGATCCCTCCGCACTCAGATCCTCCGCACTCAGATCCCTCCGCACTCAGATCCCTCCGCACTCAGATCCCTCCGCACTCAGATCCCTCCGCACTCAGATCCCTCCGCACTCAGATCCCTCCGCACTCAGATCCCTCTGCACTCAGATCCCTCTGCACTCAGATCCTCCGCACTCAGATCCCTCTGCACTCAGATCCCTCCGCACTCAGATCCCTCTGCACTCAGATCCTCCGCACTCAGATCCCTCCGCACTCAGATCCCTCCGCACTCAGATCCCTCTGCACTCAGATCCCTCCGCACTCAGATCCCTCTGCACTCAGATCCCTCTGCACTCAGATCCCTCTGCACTCAGATCCTCCGCACTCAGATCCCTCTGCACTCAGATCCCTCTGCACTCAGATCCCTCTCCACTCAGATCCCTCCGCACTCAGATCCCTCCGCACTCAGATCCCTCCGCACTCAGATCCCTCCGCACTCAGATCCCTCTGCACTCAGATTCCTCCGCACTCAGATCCCTCCGCACTCAGATCCCTCCGCACTCAGATCCCTCCGCACTCAGATCCCTCCGCACTCACAGATCCCTCCGCACTCAGATCCCTCCGCACTCAGATCCCTCCGCACTCAGATCCCTCCGCACTCAGATCCCTCCGCACTCAGATCCCTCCGCACTCAGATCCCTCCGCACTCAGATCCCTCTGCACTCAGATCCCTCTGCACTCAGATCCCTCCGCACTCAGATCCTCTGCACTCAGATCCCTCTGCACTCAGATCCCTCTGCACTCAGATCCCTCCGCACTCAGATCCCTCTGCACTCAGATCCCTCTGCACTCAGATTCCTCCGCACTCAGATCCCTCTGCACTCAGATCCCTCTGCACTCAGATCCCTCTGCACTCAGATCCCTCTGCACTCAGATCCCTCTGCACTCAGATCCCTCTGCACTCAGATCCCTCCGCACTCAGATCCCTCCGCACTCAGATCCCTCTGCACTCAGATCCCTCTGCACTCAGATTCCTCCGCACTCAGATCCCTCCGCACTCAGATCCCTCTGCACTCAGATCCCTCTGCACTCAGATCCTCTGCACTCAGATCCCTCCGCACTCAGATCCCTCCGCACTCCAGATCCCTCCGCACTCAGATTCCTCCGCACTCAGATCCCTCCGCACTCAGATCCCTCCGCACTCAGATCCCTCTGCACTCAGATCCCTCTGCACTCAGATCCCTCTGCACTCAGATCCCTCCGCACTCAGATCCCTCCGCACTCAGATCCCTCCGCACTCAGATCCCTCCGCACTCAGATCCCTCCGCACTCAGATCCCTCCGCACTCAGATCCCTCCGCACTCAGATCCCTCCGCACTCAGATCCCTCCGCACTCAGATCCCTCCGCACTCAGATCCCTCTGCACTCAGATCCCTCTGCACTCAGATCCCTCTGCACTCAGATTCCTCCGCACTCAGATCCCTCCGCACTCAGATCCCTCCGCACTCAGATCCCTCTGCACTCAGATCCCTCTGCACTCAGATCCTCCGCACTCAGATCCCTCTGCACTCAGATCCCTCTGCACTCAGATTCCTCCGCACTCAGATCCCTCCGCACTCAGATCCCTCCGCACTCAGATCCCTCCGCACTCAGATTCCTCCGCACTCAGATCCCTCCGCACTCAGATCCCTCCGCACTCAGATCCCTCCGCACTCAGATCCCTCCGCACTCAGATCCTCCGCACTCAGATCCCTCTGCACTCAGATCCCTCTGCACTCAGATCCCTCTGCACTCAGATCCCTCCGCACTCAGATCCCTCCGCACTCAGATCCTCCGCACTCAGATCCCTCTGCACTCAGATCCCTCCGCACTCAGATCCCTCCGCACTCAGATCCCTCCGCACTCAGATCCCTCCGCACTCAGATCCCTCCGCACTCAGATCCCTCTGCACTCAGATCCCTCCGCACTCAGATCCCTCCGCACTCAGATCCCTCTGCACTCAGATCCCTCCGCACTCAGATCCCTCCGCACTCAGATCCCTCTGCACTCAGATCCCTCTGCACTCAGATTCCTCCGCACTCAGATCCCTCTGCACTCAGATCCCTCTGCACTCAGATCCCTCTGCACTCAGATCCCTCCGCACTCAGATCCCTCCGCACTCAGATCCCTCCGCACTCAGATTCCTCCGCACTCAGATCCTCTGCACTCAGATCCCTCTGCACTCAGATCCCTCTGCACTCAGATCCCTCCGCACTCAGATCCCTCCGCACTCAGATCCCTCCGCACTCAGATCCTCCGCACTCAGATCCCTCCGCACTCAGATCCCTCCGCACTCAGATCCCTCCGCACTCAGATCCCTCTGCACTCAGATCCCTCTGCACTCAGATCCCTCCGCACTCAGATCCCTCCGCACTCAGATCCCTCCGCACTCAGATCCCTCCGCACTCAGATTCCTCCGCACTCAGATCCCTCCGCACTCAGATCCCTCCGCACTCAGATCCCTCCGCACTCAGATCCCTCCGCACTCAGATCCCTCTGCACTCAGATCCCTCTGCACTCAGATCCCTCCGCACTCAGATCCCTCCGCACTCAGATCCCTCCGCACTCAGATCCCTCCGCACTCAGATCCTCTGCACTCAGATCCCTCTGCACTCAGATTCCTCCGCACTCAGATCCCTCGACACTCAGATCCCTCCGCACTCAGATTCCTCCGCACTCAGATCCCTCCGCACTCAGATCCCTCCGCACTCAGATCCCTCCGCACTCAGATCCCTCCGCACTCAGATCCCTCTGCACTCAGATCCCTCCGCACTCAGATCCCTCCGCACTCAGATCCCTCCGCACTCAGATCCCTCCGCACTCAGATCCCTCCGCACTCAGATCCCTCCGCACTCAGATCCCTCCGCACTCAGATCCCTCTGCACTCAGATCCCTCCGCACTCAGATCCCTCCGCACTCAGATCCCTCCGCACTCAGATCCCTCCGCACTCAGATCCCTCCGCACTCAGATCCCTCCGCACTCAGATCCCTCTGCACTCAGATCCCTCTGCACTCAGATCCCTCTGCACTCAGATCCCTCTGCACTCAGATCCCTCTGCACTCAGATCCCTCCGCACTCAGATCCCTCCGCACTCAGATCCCTCCGCACTCAGATTCCTCCGCACTCAGATCCCTCCGCACTCAGATCCCTCCGCACTCAGATCCCTCCTGCACTCAGATCCCTCTGCACTCAGATCCCTCCGCACTCAGATCCCTCTGCACTCAGATCCCTCTGCACTCAGATCCCTCCGCACTCAGATCCCTCCGCACTCAGATCCCTCCGCACTCAGATCCCTCCGCACTCAGATCCCTCTGCACTCAGATCCCTCTGCACTCAGATTCCTCCGCACTCAGATCCCTCTGCACTCAGATCCCTCTGCACTCAGATCCCTCTGCACTCAGATCCCTCCGCACTCAGATCCCTCCGCACTCAGATCCCTCCGCACTCAGATCCCTCCGCACTCAGATCCCTCTGCACTCAGATCCCTCCGCACTCAGATCCCTCCGCACTCAGATCCCTCTGCACTCAGATCCCTCCGCACTCAGATCCCTCCGCACTCAGATCCCTCTGCACTCAGATCCCTCCGCACTCAGATCCCTCGCACTCAGATCCCTCCGCACTCAGATCCCTCCGCACTCAGATCCCTCCGCACTCAGATCCCTCCGCACTCAGATCCCTCCGCACTCAGATCCCTCCGCACTCAGATCCCTCTGCACTCAGATCCCTCCGCACTCAGATCCCTCCGCACTCAGATCCCTCCGCACTCAGATCCCTCCGCACTCAGATCCCTCCGCACTCAGATTCCTCCGCACTCAGATCCCTCTGCACTCAGATCCCTCCGCACTCAGATCCCTCCGCACTCAGATCCCTCCGCACTCAGATCCCTCCGCACTCAGATCCCTCCGCACTCAGATCCCTCTGCACTCAGATCCCTCCGCACTCAGATCCCTCCGCACTCAGATCCTCCGCACTCAGATCCCTCTGCACTCAGATCCCTCCGCACTCAGATCCCTCTGCACTCAGATCCCTCCGCACTCAGATCCCTCCACACTCAGATCCCTCCGCACTCAGATCCCTCCGCACTCAGATCCCTCCGCACTCAGATCCCTCTGCACTCAGATCCCTCCGCACTCAGATCCTCTGCACTCAGATCCCTCCCACTCAGATCCCTCTGCACTCAGATCCCTCTGCACTCAGATCCCTCTGCACTCAGATCCCTCCGCACTCAGATCCCTCCGCACTCAGATCCCTCCGCACTCAGATCCCTCTGCACTCAGATCCCTCTGCACTCAGATCCCTCCGCACTCAGATCCCTCTGCACTCAGATCCCTCTGCACTCAGATCCCTCTGCACTCAGATTCCTCCGCACTCAGATCCCTCCGCACTCAGATCCCTCCGCACTCAGATCCCTCCGCACTCAGATCCCTCTGCACTCAGATCCCTCCGCACTCAGATCCCTCCGCACTCAGATCCCTCCGCACTCAGATCCCTCTGCACTCAGATCCCTCTGCACTCAGATTCCTCCGCACTCAGATCCCTCTGCACTCAGATCCCTCTGCACTCAGATCCTCTGCACTCAGATTCCTCCGCACTCAGATCCCTCCGCACTCAGATCCCTCCGCACTCAGATCCCTCTGCACTCAGATCCCTCTGCACTCAGATCCCTCCGCACTCAGATCCCTCCGCACTCAGATCCCTCCGCACTCAGATCCCTCCGCACTCAGATCCCTCCGCACTCAGATCCCTCCGCACTCAGATCCCTCTGCACTCAGATCCCTCTGCACTCAGATTCCTCCGCACTCAGATCCCTCCGCACTCAGATCCCTCCACACTCACTCAGATCCCTCCGCACTCAGATCCCTCCGCACTCAGATCCCTCGCACTCAGATCCCTCCGCACTCAGATTCCTCCGCACTCAGATCCCTCCGCACTCAGATCCCTCCGCACTCAGATCCCTCCGCACTCAGATCCCTCTGCCCTCCGCACTCAGATCCCTCCGCACTCAGATCCCTCTGCACTCAGATCCCTCCGCACTCAGATCCCTCCGCACTCAGATCCCTCCGCACTCAGATCCCTCCGCACTCAGATCCCTCCGCACTCAGATCCCTCTGCACTCAGATCCCTCCGCACTCAGATCCCTCTGCACTCAGATCCCTCTCACTCAGATCCCTCCGCACTCAGATCCCTCCGCACTCAGATCCCTCCGCACTCAGATCCCTCTGCACTCAGATCCCTCTGCACTCAGATCCCTCCGCACTCAGATCCTCCGCACTCAGATCCCTCCGCACTCAGATCCCTCCGCACTCAGATCCCTCTGCACTCAGATCCCTCCGCACTCAGATCCCTCCGCACTCAGATCCCTCCGCACTCAGATCCCTCCGCACTCAGATCCCTCCGCACTCAGATCCCTCTGCACTCAGATCCCTCCGCACCAGATCCCTCCGCACTCAGATCCCTCTGCACTCAGATCCCTCCGCACTCAGATCCCTCCGCACTCAGATCCCTCCGCACTCAGATCCCTCTGCACTCAGATCCCTCCGCACTCAGATCCCTCTGCACTCAGATCCCTCTGCACTCAGATCCCTCTGCACTCAGATCCCTCCGCACTCAGATCCCTCTGCACTCAGATCCTCTCCGCACTCAGATCCCTCCGCACTCAGATCCCTCCGCACTCAGATCCCTCCGCACTCAGATCCTCCGCACTCAGATCCCTCCCACTCAGATCCCTCTGCACTCAGATCCCTCTGCACTCAGATCCTCCGCACTCAGATCCCTCCGCACTCAGATCCCTCTGCACTCAGATCCCTCCGCACTCAGATCCCTCTGCACTCAGATTCCTCCGCACTCAGATCCTCCCTCAGATCCCTCCGCACTCAGATCCCCTGCACTCAGATCCCTCCTCACTCAGATCCCTCCGCACTCAGATCAATCCTCCGCACTCAGATCCCTCCGCACTCAGATCCCTCTGCACTCAGATCCCTCTGCACTCAGATCCCTCTGCACTCAGATCCCTCCGCACTCAGATCCTCTGCACTCAGATCCCTCTGCACTCAGATCCCTCTGCACTCAGATCCCTCCGCACTCAGATCCCTCCGCACTCAGATCCCTCCGCACTCAGATCCCTCCGCACTCAGATCCCTCTGCACTCAGATCCCTCCGCACTCAGATCCCTCCGCACTCAGATCCCTCCGCACTCAGATCCCTCCGCACTCAGATCCCTCCGCACTCAGATCCCTCCGCACTCAGATCCCTCCGCACTCAGATCCTCCGCACTCAGATCCCTCCGCACTCAGATCCCTCCGCACTCAGATCCCTCCGCACTCAGATCCCTCCGCACTCAGATCCTCTGCACTCAGATCCCTCCGCACTCAGATCCCTCCACTCAGATCCCTCCGCACTCAGATCCCTCCGCACTCAGATCCCTCTGCACTCAGATCCTCCGCACTCAGATCCCTCTGCACTCAGATCCCTCGCACTCAGATCCCTGCACTCAGATCCCTCCGCACTCAGATCCCTCCGCACTCAGATCCCTCCGCACTCAGATCCCTCCGCACTCAGATCCCTCCGCACTCAGATCCTCCGCACTCAGATCCCTCCGCACTCAGATCCCTCCGCACTCAGATCCCTCCGCACTCAGATCCCTCCGCACTCAGATCCTCCGCACTCAGATCCCTCCGCACTCAGATCCCTCCGCACTCAGATCCCTCCGCACTCAGATCCCTCCGCACTCAGATCCCTCCGCACTCAGATCCCTCCGCACTCAGATCCCTCCGCACTCAGATCCCTCCGCACTCAGATCCCTCCGCACTCAGATCCCTCCGCACTCAGATCCCTCCGCACTCAGATCCCTCCGCACTCAGATCCCTCCGCACTCAGATCCCTCCGCACTCAGATCCCTCTGCACTCAGATCCCTCCGCACTCAGATCCTCCGCACTCAGATCCCTCTGCACTCAGATCCCTCTGCACTCAGATCCCTCTGCACTCAGATCCCTCCGCACTCAGATCCTCCGCACTCAGATCCCTCCGCACTCAGATCCCTCCGCACTCAGATCCCTCCGCACTCAGATCCCTCCGCACTCAGATCCCTCCGCACTCAGATCCCTCCGCACTCAGATCCCTCCGCACTCAGATCCCTCCGCACTCAGATCCCTCCGCACTCAGATCCTCCGCACTCAGATCCCTCCGCACTCAGATCCCTCCGCACTCAGATCCCTCCGCACTCAGATCCCTCCGCACTCAGATCCCTCCGCACTCAGATCCCTCCGCACTCAGATCCCTCCGCACTCAGATCCCTCCGCACTCAGATCCCTCCGCACTCAGATCCCTCTGCACTCAGATCCCTCCGCACTCAGATCCCTCCGCACTCAGATCCCTCCGCACTCAGATCCCTCCGCACTCAGATCCCTCTGCACTCAGATCCCTCTGCACTCAGATCCCTCTGCACTCAGATCCCTCTGCACTCAGATCCTCTGCACTCAGATCCCTCTGCACTCAGATCCCTCCGCACTCAGATCCCTCCGCACTCAGATCCCTCTGCACTCAGATCCCTCTGCACTCAGATCCTCCGCACTCAGATCCTCCGCACTCAGATCCCTCCGCACTCAGATCCCTCCGCACTCAGATCCCTCCGCACTCAGATCCCTCTGCACTCAGATCCCTCTGCACTCAGATCCCTCTGCACTCAGATCCCTCTGCACTCAGATCCCTCCGCACTCAGATCCCTCTGCACTCAGATCCCTCTGCACTCAGATCCCTCTGCACTCAGATCCTCCGCACTCAGATCCCTCCGCACTCAGATCCCTCTGCACTCAGATCCCTCTGCACTCAGATCCCTCTGCACTCAGATCCCTCCGCACTCAGATCCCTCTGCACTCAGATCCCTCCGCACTCAGATCCCTCCGCACTCAGATCCCTCCGCACTCAGATCCCTCTGCACTCAGATCCCTCTGCACTCAGATTCCCCGCACTCAGATCCCTCCGCACTCAGATCCCTCTGCACTCAGATCCCTCTGCACTCAGATCCCTCCGCACTCAGATCCCTCTGCACTCAGATCCCTCCGCACTCAGACCCTCCGCACTCAGATCCCTCTGCACTCAGATTCCTCCGCACTCAGATCCCTCCGCACTCAGATCCCTCCGCACTCAGATCCCTCCGCACTCAGATCCCTCCGCACTCAGATCCCTCCGCACTCAGATCCCTCCGCACTCAGATTCCTCCGCACTCAGATCCCTCCGCACTCAGATCCTCCGCACTCAGATCCCTCCGCACTCAGATCCCTCTGCACTCAGATCCCTCCGCACTCAGATCCCTCCGCACTCAGATCCCTCCGCACTCAGATCCCTCCGCACTCAGATCCCTCCGCACTCAGATCCCTCCGCACTCAGATCCCTCTCGCACTCAGATCCCTCCGCACTCAGATCCCTCTGCACTCAGATCCTCTGCACTCAGATCCCTCCGCACTCAGATCCCTCCGCACTCAGATCCCTCCGCACTCAGATCCCTCCGCACTCAGATCCCTCCGCACTCAGATCCCTCCGCACTCAGATCCCTCCGCACTCAGATCCCTCCGCACTCAGATCCCTCCGCACTCAGATCCCTCTGCACTCAGATCCCTCTGCACTCAGATCCCTCTGCACTCAGATTCTCTCACTCAGATCCCTCCGCACTCAGATCCCTCCGCACTCAGATCCCTCTGCACTCAGATCCCTCCGCACTCAGATCCCTCCGCACTCAGATCCCTCCGCACTCAGATCCCTGCACTCAGATCCCTCCGCACTCAGATCCTCCGCACTCAGATCCCTCCGCACTCAGATCCTCCGCACTCAGATCCTCCGCACTCAGATCCCTCTGCACTCAGATCCTCCGCACTCAGATCCCTCCGCACTCAGATCCCTCCGCACTCAGATCCCTCCGCACTCAGATCCCTCCGCACTCAGACTCAGATCCTCTGCACTCAGATCCTCTGCACTCAGATCCCTCCTGCACTCAGATCCCTCCGCACTCAGATCCCTCCGCACTCAGATCCCTCCGCACTCAGATCCCTCCGCACTCAGATCCCTCCGCACTCAGATCCCTCCGCACTCAGATCCCTCCGCACTCAGATCCCTCCGCACTCAGATCCTCCGCACTCAGATCCCTCCGCACTCAGATCCTCTGCACTCAGATCCCTCCGCACTCAGATCCCTCCTCACTCAGATCCCTCCGCACTCAGATCCCTCCGCACTCAGATTCCTCCGCACTCAGATCCCTCTGCACTCAGATCCCTCTGCACTCAGATCCCTCCGCACTCAGATCCTCTCCGCACTCAGATCCCTCTGCACTCAGATCCCTCTGCACTCAGATCCCTCCGCACTCAGATCCCTCCGCACTCAGATCCCTCCGCACTCAGATCCCTCCGCACTCAGATCCCTCCGCACTCAGATCCCTCCGCACTCAGATCCCTCCGCACTCAGATCCCTCCGCACTCAGATCCCTCCGCACTCAGATCCCTCTGCACTCAGATCCCTCTGCACTCAGATCCCTCCGCACTCAGATCCCTCTGCACTCAGATCCCTCCGCACTCAGATCCTCCGCACTCAGATCCCTCTGCACTCAGATCCCTCTGCACTCAGATCCCTCCGCACTCAGATCCCTCTGCACTCAGATCCCTCCGCACTCAGATCCCTCTGCACTCAGATTCCTCCGCACTCAGATCCCTCCGCACTCAGATCCCTCCGCACTCAGATCCCTCCGCACTCAGATCCCTCCGCACTCAATCCCTCCGCACTCAGATCCCTTAGATCTCCGCACTCAGATCCCTCTGCACTCAGATCCTCCGCACTCAGATCCCTCCGCACTCAGATCCCTCCGCACTCGATCCTCTGCACTCAGATCCCTCCGCACTCAGATCCCTCCGCACTACACAGATCCCTCCGCACTCAGATCCCTCCGCACTCAGATCCCTCCGCACTCAGATCCCTCGCACTCAGATCCCTCCGCACTCAGATTCCCTCCGCACTCAGATCCCTCTGCACTCAGATCCCTCCGCACTCAGATCCCTCCGCACTCAGATCCCTCCGCACTCAGATCCCTCCGCACTCAGATCCCTCCGCACTCAGATCCCTCCGCACTCAGATCCCTCTGCACTCAGATCCCTCCGCACTCAGATCCCTCCGCACTCAGATCCCTCCGCACTCAGATCCTTGCTCGATCCCTCCGCACTCAGATCCCTCCGCACTCAGATCCTCCGCACTCAGATCCCTCCGCACTCAGATCCCTCGCACTCAGATCCCTCCGCACTCAGATCCCTCCGCACTCAGATCCCTCCGCACTCAGATCCCTCCGCCTCAGATCCCTCCGCACTCAGATCCCTCCGCACTCAGATCCCTCCGCACTCAGATCCCTCCGCACTCAGATCCCTCCGCACTCAGATCCTCCGCACTCAGATCCCTCCGCACTCAGATCCCTCCGCACTCAGATCCCTCCGCACTCAGATCCCTCCGCACTCAGATCCCTCTGCACTCAGATCCCTCTGCACTCAGATTCCTCCGCACTCAGATCCCTCCGCACTCAGATCCCTCTGCACTCAGATCCCTCGCACTCAGATCCCTCCGCACTCAGATCCCTCCGCACTCAGATCCCTC